TAGAACTTGTCAGGCAGTGTCAATGACTTTTCTTATTATTTTATACACATGAGTGTCAAAATCTTTTTATTTACCCTTTTGTACAAATAGAAAGTATGCTTCGTTGCTGTTGAGTTGGATGATTTATGTCGTCAGATAAATTAAGTTAAAAATTATCGTCCAAGTTTAAACATACAAACTCGATTAACAAAACCGAAGCATACTGATTCTCATTGGATAAGCACCAATCTGTGCAATCGTGTAACATTATCTCAATCTTCAATATAATCTACTGTGAGTTTAATAAATTATGAGCGATAAAATCGCATTTAAAATTTATGATTAAGAAAGAATGCTCGACTCCGAAATATTTTTCATCATATAAAGTAGCGTGTGTCTAACTTTATACAAATAAATAGCAATCGCTTATCGAGCCTATCTTAAGAGTCTATCGCGTTGAAATTTGTTTCTACTGCACACGAGAGTCTTCAATAAAGTTTAAAACGTGAAAAGGACGCCCGTATGTGTTACTTCGCGTAGCGAATCGTGAGGGAGTAGTGACGAAAAAGTAGAAAATTCTTTAACAGCACAATCCGCCATCTACAAAGTAAATTTTGTTGCAAATATCGCGCTATTTTTTCTGCATATCTTGCGTCGTATTGATCGTCGCAATTGTAAACAGCGCGATCTTGCATCGTCACGTCGTCGAACCGTGCGTTGAAATTTATTTCGGTGGTATTTTTGATTCCTTCTTTCGATTTTTTTTTTCTCGCAGAAGTTCTCGTGACGTAAATCTTGCGTGTTTACTGAAAACTTCCGGCGAAAAGCAGACCTACTTTGCGTATGATTTATTCGCCAACGTGCACGCGGTTGCAGCGGATGAGTTTTTAATGGTGCATAATACGGAAGTAAAAATTGCCGGCTTTCGTGGACGCGAGAATTAGACCTCGCGTGAGAGAAGTAAGAGGGCGGCGCATCAGTTTTCCATCACGGATCGAAGGGTGTTACGGGAAAATAAATTTCCTTTCGCTCAGGTAGCGGAATGATAAGGTATCGCGATGTCCTAAGGAGACACTAGTTACTTCCACGAAGACTCATCGATACGTCTTCCCGTGAACTTTGGAAGCTCCACCGCCGTTTGATTACCCCAAGAAGATCTCGGCAACATTCGAATCTCATACCGTATACGTCACTGCCAATCGCGCACGCACACGATCGATGTGCGCTTTCGATACTAATCTTCACACTACTTACGTTTACATTTAATGCTGGATGCCTAATCCCAATTGTCTACTTACTTCCCTTATGAGATCGCTTATTATTTTGATTTGGAAATCAGCTGCCGCTATCGAAGATGCATGTAAAAGAGATCGTAACTTTTAAGAAGAAAAAAAAAACAGATATTCAGACGAGGTGCCGTCTTCCGATGATTTTTCATATCTGTGCATACGTAGCGACTTCATTTTCTAAAGTAAAGTCCAACGTTAATAACTATCTTCTGTACGGATATTTTTGTGTAAATATCTGCGGACATGCAACGTGCATTCGTAAGAACGAATATTTTCAGAGTGTTTGTAATATCTTTTTGCCCCGTCTCTTGCAAGAGAATTTCGCGGCTAAATCTTCATCCCAGTACATATATTATAAGATAGTCTTCAAAATCTTGACATTTAATAAGAATAATTTCCTTGAATCCATTAGACTCTTATTTTTTATACATTCGATTAACAGATACATAATTTATTTATGTATTTCACGATGCAATTTGTTCGCATTAAGCGCAGATTCAACTATAGATGAGCGCATCCGAGCAAAGATATAGCCTTATCTCGTTGCCTTGATACCAGTTACCAGGATCTCTGTGCACCTGCAGCGATCCCGTCATCTGTTTGAGATCGGAAGAAAGGAAGAGAAAGAGAAAGGAGAAAAAGAGGAAAAAGATATACGAGCAGATAAATCACGCCCTCGTGCCACTTTTCCCTTTTTTTTTCCTTTTGCACTATCCACCGCCCACCTTGGTCGTCGTTTCGCCATGACGACGCGTTTCCACGACGTGTCATTATTAAGACGCCGGGCGCCGCGACGTCTTGCTGCGTTCGCTCTACATATATAAGTCCCGCATCAAAAACTTATTCGATCCGTAACTTTACTTAAATCCAGCCGGGAATATCCGCCCGCAAATCTCGTCGTTAATTATTTTCCTATTTCGATTACTCGTTTACACGCCTTGAATTAATTACGATCGCTAACTGCCACGGGGAAATCTTTGCCTTCCAAGTCGAATAAATCCGAATGAAAAGAATCAGGTGCAAAGAGATCCTGAATCTTAATTAGTTATGTAGGAACTTTGTTTTATCTCAGACGATTATCAATACTTCATGATTTGATCTTCTTTCTAAAGTGAAGAACCTCGTACTTGCGAATATAATAAGGAAAAATTACAGAGTGTAAAAAAATATGACAAAAAGAGGTTACTGCTACACTGTGCAATAAAATGACATAACTGTCTATTTAAAAATTCACTCATTAAAAAATCGGGAAAGCTATTATTTATAATTTATCAAAAGACATAATTGTGTAAAAGAAAAGTATTTTTACAGTAATGTCTGAGAAAGAAAATTTTATAAATCGCTTCTAACTCGTATCCGATAAAAATTGTTCACCAAGTTGTCGTTTGAACTAACATTAGAAATTTTTGATGTGTTCTTAAAAAGTTTGACTATCTTAAAAAATTGTTAAGGAGAGGACCAATAGTTGACAGCGCGATACAAGCCAATCATGTTTAGTTTACGAGAGATATATCCAATGGAAAAAAAAGCGGAAACCAATAGTCTACAAACGCAAAACTGTTCAATCCTAATAAATATTATTACTATTAATATATTATCCCAATTGTATGTCAAATTATTATGTAATTAATGACAATTATCATATATATATATATATATAGTAAATGGACGAAGATGGGCTGCATCGAAATAGAGTATAAGAAAAAGACTAACTTCAAATGCATCCAATACCGAATAATTGTAATCAATTTGAAGTAAAAATTAATTGATGAGAGAGAGAGAGAAAGAGAAAGAAAAACGTATGGCCAGAAAACATTTTATTGTCTAGCAGAGAAAATGCCACAGTGTACACAGCAACAGTTGTAAAATAATATTTTTGAAAGAAAACGGTTTTTTCGAGAAGAAAGAAAATGTTTTAGAATGGCCAGCACGTTTTCGAGATTTGAATATTATTGCAGCCTGTTACACAATGTTAGTACACAAACTATATTTTAGAGGAAAGCAATTTCAAGCCATTAATGAATCAAAGACGTGCGAAGTAGTATGGGTAAGATTAGGATAAAAAGAAATTCCAGAGAGACTTTATAAATTACTGCCAGAGCGAATAATTGAGGTACTTGAGAACAAGACAGAAAATTATTAAAGTAGAGAGTTCCCGCGTTTTCCGCGTTTTTCCCTTTATGCTTTTAATAATTTTTCAACTGTATTATCATTTCTGTTCTCCCGATGAACAAATTTCTTTTAATTAAATATATACGTATACATTAATTATCGAATGGAGCGCTTCTCTTTCTTTTTACGCAAGATTTTATTATTACACAAGGTTGCATTATTAAAAAACTATAAGTTTTGCTTAAACCTTTTGATTAAGGAATCACTAATTTTCGAAATACAAATATATTTTTGTCTATAATACTCGGCATGCTTTTTCTCTTCTCTCTCTTTTCTTTGTGACGTACATTATAAATTAGATGATTAGCAATCATTGTATGTATATATTACTTAAATCTACACCTCATGTTTACCAAATTTAACTGATCAACGAAACGAAGTATCATTTCATAAAATATAACTATTAGTTACCGTCACGTTACGTTTTGCAACTCAATATAAAGGTTCCGGGTCCGGCACGTATGCACGACGAAAGCGTTATGTAATTTGAAAGCCATGCGCCGGAATTGCATGAAACTTTCAGGAAATGTTAGCAATACCGTTACGGATATAACGATGCCATTGCGGTAACCCTGGGGCGTCTCATTCCCGTATATATTCTACAAACACGAAGGGTTAAATGTGGTTTACCAATTGCGCGGTTAAATTCCGGGGTACGTTTTCGAATCCCTCCGAGAAAATTACCTGTCGAAGTCAATCGCTCGTTCTTCTACACATTAACCGATTCGCTCGCAATATCGCTTGATTTTATACGATACGTTACGTATATACGCTTCGTATTTTTCTCGATTCAACGACAGGCGAAAGAGTGTCGACGTCGAAAAGTATAGAGATCATTAATTGCATGTCAATATTTCAGTTAAATCTAGAGCGTAAAGTATAAAAGAAATTCTTTACATTGTACCAGACGTTATTTTACTTTTTAATTTGTGACAAACAAAATACCCGAGGTGATTTGCTGTCAAACAGCAAATATTCTATAAAATAGAAATTATTTGATGCTTTTTTTATTGATAACCAAGATCAAGAGAAAATAATTACGAAATAATAGAATATACTAAATTCTTTGACTTAAAACGTTGTTTTAAAAAAAGACAAGTGCAAAAAATTGACTAACATCTTTTTGTATTTCAAATTAATATGATTTTTAATAACACGCGTATAATTAAGCTATTCGTTTTTGTCTGTCTATTAAACTGCAAGTAAAAACACTATATATTTTATTTAAAAAATAGAAATCATTTTTATATTTTATAAAAAGTTTACTTAACTTTGTAACTTCAATAATTTTCTATTATTTTTCACATAGAATGTTAATCTTTTTTTTCGACTATTGCAATGCATTTGATTGTGGTATGCAGGATTTATGTAATAAAATTGTTATTCAAATTAATCTCCAAATCTATTTTCTTGAAGCTAAAGACTCGTATAAGAAATTCTTATGATATATGCAGAGCGTAGAATCGCGCTTTCCTCGTGAAACCTCTCTCGATTTAATCTTTCGAGTTTCGACATGCAATTAAGAGTCACCCCTATGTGCTTTGGGACTTATGAGCTTACCTTGATCGTGAATTGTCTGCAGGCTGGCTTGTAGGCGTTTGTGCCGCAAACGAGAAAGCGATCGGGGCCTTGTCTGCCGAATACTCGCACGTAGTTCTGGCACTCGTCGTCGCTGCGGCCCTTCAAGTAGCAAAGCTCGCGATGCGCCTCGGTGCTGGACCATTGCAATCTCTGAAACAGGCAAGATCGAGCAAACATTACTACTTCGGCTCCTGGCCAACTTGGCGTCACGTACACCGCGGAGTACGCGAGTTTGTATGACAAAAGCCGATTAGAGGTCAGCCAAAGATTAATACTCTTGCATGAAAATTGAGACTTAACGGAACTCAATCCTCCCCCCCCCCCCATTTTCAATGAGAGAGAGAGACATATCGATTCGGAGAACGTCGTCACTATCTCATGCTTTCGCGCCAGGCAGAGACTCGTTTTTAGTAATTCCCTCGTATCGCATTAATTTTGCGAGTTATGCGCTTCGTTCGGCAGATTTAGAGCCGGATCCGCGAAAAATGTAAAGTCGTCTTAACGTTAAAGTCGACTTTAAGGTATAATTTATATCGCGTGAGCTGCACGCGTTAGAGAATTAAATGTAATGCGACGTTAAATCTTTTTGAATTCTCGCCATCTCGGTGGAATAAATGAGTACCGTCGCTAGCGTTGAATCTTAATCCGATGACAACACTCTCGTGATAATAATGATGATGTACCCTGGGCTTGTCTCTTTGTCATTGGCGTATGCGTTATTATTCCGACTGAGAGGGTAACATACTGTATTATTAGTCCTTACATTGAGATACAGTGGCGAATAATAATCCGGGCTACGTTCCCTAATATCCGCATTGTTTCAAAGTCACATCGTCTCGTCTCGCGTACGAGTACGTTCTTAGATTCGGAGAATAAATGAACAATAAATGAATTTTGCAAACACAATAAACCCTTCGTACATAAACTGCGATTATATCCGAAAAGGTAAAGGGCTTAAGATAATCGGATTTTTGGATTTTACAGTTGAGTGGTAATACAAGGAGCTGTAAAACTTTGCACGTGCTCAAACAGAATTGCGTAGATTTTAAAGGAAGTGAACGGAGAATTTCTTCAATCTATCGGTATTCAGTTTCATTACGTCAGAAAGATATTTTTGTATTAATTACTCATTTCATTTAATAAATAATTAAAACCTCTACCTGTTTCTCTAATCAACTTGATCTTATACCAAAATCTTATACGATAAGGAATGTAAACTTTCTTTGTCTCTTACGAGTGCACTTTTAATTGTTGATGATGTTTTACTCAATTATTCAAATAAACAGTCTTTAATATTAATAATCATTAATTTTCTGTATGATTCAATGTCTAAGAAAATGATAGAGATGTAAGTACATGTAATTAATATGTTAACAAATCGATTGTGCGAAAGCGAATTGCGTAGATTATTGAACAGAAGAGGAAAGTGACTGTACGCGCGACTTGGGAGGGAAAAAAAAGTAGAGTAGAAAATAGAGCAGTAAATTATTTCGAGAAAAGAATCGGCGAGGAAAGGTCAGCCGCAATTCTAATTCTAGGGCATTATATTATTCGTTCGGTTAAAAAAAAATATCAAACGTTGCTTGCCGTGACTCGGTCTCCTTGTTTAAACCAACCACCTCATGGCCCTGAGGCAACGTTGAGAGACACGGAGTGCACGAAACAACAAGAAGGTGAGGAGCGGCGAGAAGGTAAGGTAGGTAGGGAAGGTAGGTTACGACAGGAGCTGCAGCTGCATACTGCCAAGCAGAAATCCTTGAACAAGCTATATTCAGCTCCTTCTCCAGCGCGCTATGTTATATCTTTACGACGTCTCATGGCCGACCGGGAAATTCCAGTTTCCTCGATAATTTTGGCTGGTCACGCCTCAACGAAACGCGCACGTTTAAGCCGCGTTATTCTCGCAAAGAATTTCCTCTCGTCGATGGTTTTCTCGAGAGGGCGAGAACTCGAATTTCCCACTAAACCCTTTTTATCGCGATTGATAAGTTTATCAAGGAAATGGAAACGTATCTTCACCAAGCAGAAATGTCTAAGAGGCACTGTAAATGATATTTCAACACTTTGAAATATTCATGAGAACGCTTAAAAAAACACTCTAGTTTTTCGAATATTTCATTTCAAATAACTTTGCAATTTTTCTGATAAATTAATTTTATCATTTGTGTATGATTTTTCATGATTTCTTTTAAGCCGACGGATGGATTGATTTTATCGAATATAACAAATTAGATAGTAATTCGAAGCGATAGCTCGATCGGGAAATTGGGTAACAAGGGTACATTTAGCACGGTAGAGAAATCAAATTATGTCCCGGGAAGGCAAATTATCTTCGAACGCCTGTCGTTATTCGAATGGATAAAATCCTAAAATCTAATTCCACTTATTAGTCAGTAAAATTTCTAAAATAACGAAATATATAAATAAAATTTTATCACATTTCTATATTATTTTTAAAACATCAAGAATAACGATACGAAAATATATTGACGATAAGCCAAAATATCAATTTTTGTAGGTAAAAAGAAGTCTCGTGAAAAAAAATTATAGAGTAAAATATTCATCTGAAATTTATGTGCAAGGAAAATAACTTTGGAATATTGCATTGTTGTATTTTAAGCATCGACACTTGAATAAGTGTCGATATAAATCATTTTTCATATGTGACCCGATTTTATTTTCATTTTTACTTCAAATTTCAAAGGCTTTTGCTTTTAAAGTTTTTTTTTAAATAGGACTGAACTCAATTTTATTGACATTTTACGGATTACAATCAAGTGAAAAAAACGCTAGTTTGAAATTATAGAAAGAATATAATTTTGAAAAGAAATGTTTCAGTGGACGTACGTTCACAGAATAATATTTCATAAGATTGTTGCTAGGAAACATTACACACCGAGCTATTGTTTTCTCGTTTGATTATTAATATCTTCTTGCAAATATCGAAAATCCATCAATTAACTTTTCTCACACCACTGCGCCTTAAAATATCAAGATAAATTGAGTGGCCAATACCGTGTCATTACTTTTGAAAAAATCGACTAATTCCTAACATAAATTAATTTCCATTCGTTACGCGATTCTCAATTAATTCCCGGATCTTAAGTGATATCTTCGGCAGCGCCCGGTAACGACGGCAAAGGAACCAATTAAGAAGCCGAACGGTATTTCGACTACGACTGTGATTTAGGGAACGGCCGCGTGATGTATTCCGCTTTTTGTGCTAATTAGAATACGTCTCCGCGAATCTCCCGGCCGTCGCCGTCAGTTCTAGGACTATGGTGCGAGCAGAAGCAGAAACAGCACGGCGAGTTACAACCGACTGAAAACTTTCGACCGCAAAATCGTACTGCATATTCATCGAGTAATACGATTTCGCCAGTTTCGAGCCTGCCGGTGGTGGCCGATTTTACGCTTTAACCCGCGAATAAATTCGACTTCGGGACATCATACCGGTACGGCGCAATGTGGCGCCGCGAGAACTTCCCATAATTTTTTGTTCCCTTTGTTCGCGGACTTGATTCGGATATTCCGACCGGGTCCTGTCAGTGTAACTTTCAGACGGGGAAGCAGTGAAGGAGCTGCGGAAAAAGGGAGGAGCTAACAGGGAAGTGTGCTTATCCGGGAGTAAACGGAAAGGAAAGATTCGTCCGACAGGACGAGTCTCCTTTATATTCCTTTTTTTTCTATAGGATTAAGTAATCCGCTTTTTGCAATCGATCAAAGTTTCTTTTCGAGCCGAGAAGTTTTAATTAAAACGCATGAGGCGATATCGGACGAATTGCAGTATCTGACACGTACGTCCTGTACCTAGTCCTGTAGATCCTGCCTTGGATTTTTATTAACTTCTTTTGGGAGAAATGGGAACATGTTTGCATTGTCCGACTTATTTTGTTCGCGGATTGATATCTTGGAGCAATGCGGAAGATACGACGAATAATTTGCATCAGAATTATTCAAGATTGATATGATATTGTTTCTCGTTGTATGGATTTGTAATCGGACAATAAATTTCAAGCAAAAAGTGGAGACATATGATAAATACATTGTAAACTTTAGTACGAGGGGTAAACCGCTGACCAAAATCATGTACACCAATGCCTACTAATGCTCAGTGGGCATTATTTTATCTTGTTTGTCTCGTTTTATCTTATTTCATCTTTATAATGCCCCAGCAAAGCCGAATGCCCAAAAAAATGCCCAGTAATGTCCAGTAATGCCCGCAAATCTGTGCACCACAATGTCCTCAGCGGTTTACCTCTCGCTTTAGTATATCGATTCTATTACTTCAGATAGATACTACATACTTGATAAAACAGATTAGTGAATACAAATTTGGAATCACAGCTTAAACTTAAAACTCGCTTATTAATAAGTGTCTATATGGACTTCTTCTACTGTTTCTCAAATAAAATCCCAAAGTATTTCTCACCCTTCGCCTAGCATCCTAGGTCGCGCAAAAAGACATTTACAGTCAGGTAACCGAAAAGTTTTTAACGAAGCAACTTAAATATCCTCCTTAGCTGAAATACCAAGAAACGAGATAGAGGGTAATTCAAGGGTATTGTGCCAAGAAAGTATGGCGAGGTGCTGTGAAACATTTGTACTTCCGCAGCGAGTGGAATATACGTGTTTCCAACTGCAGTCTGTTTCACGTGGCCAAAGCTACGAATAAATTCGGCTATAGGCATTAGTCGCGGGTATTCAGTAAAAACTTTTTCGCGGCACGCCAACAAGTTGCTTTGCTCCCTCAACTTGGGTAAAAATGGCACATCGATAACGACCGAGCGCGGTCACACAGGAGTAAAAAGTATATGTTTATTCGCGTATAATTTATTTCCAACTCATTTCACTTTTCGTACTACACTTGTGCGTAGAGGGAGAGAAAGAGAGGGCGAGGGAGAGAAGGAATTTGATTTAGAATTAGAAGTCTTAATATCCGGAAAAGTTCCGGATTCTTTCTTCCACTTTATAACGTCATATCGTTAGAAGAAAGAAAGTTAAATAATACCTTGCAATTTGTCAATAATTATTTCCGATTTATCTCTCTGCATTATGCAACGCGTGCTAAAACCGTCAAATGTCTGTAAAGTCGTCGATTGATTTGGAATGCAATTTTTCCTCCAAAATGTGGAGGCAAGAATAAAAGC